TATATATATATATATATATATATATATATATATATATATATATATATTTGATGAGAATATAAGAAAAATGTTGTTTTATCTTGTGCATTAGTGCGAGAAATACGAATATTTGTACATAAAACTATAAAAAACAACGAATTTTACCAAAATTAACTACCATATTTTATACGTAATTTTAGCGTAAGCAATCGTCATTTTAAATCCGACGGTAATTTGACATATCTACTCATAAGACTCGCGAGAGTCTCATAAGAGCATATAATCTTCATTGTTTAGAGATACGAATGACGGTGCGGAGGTGAGCTCGATTAGATGTGTGAAAGTAAGCTACATCTGCGAGAGAAAAGTAGTTTCCGCGCAGTTTCAGACAGCATCATCCGTGCGTTCCGCGCAAAGGAAAAAAAAAAGGCAGGAGGGAAAGAAAAGAACTGCTCGATTATCCGGTCGAAATACGAAGGAGCGCGTAACCGTCCGCGCGTACCCGGCTGTCGGGGAGGTCGTCCGCCGCGAGGTCGAACCTTGCGCTATGGAGTCAAGATCAAGATCAAGGCGCGCCTGGTCACCGCGCCGAACCCAGGCTCCATGAATACGATAACGCGGTTGTGCGAGCGCGTTGGTACGCGCTGCCACGATATCCTCGCTCTGTGTGCCACGCACACGCGTATCGCCGATGACCTACTGAGCGCCCGGGACACGCGCGTACAATCCACGTACATACGTGAGCGTGCACGGAGAGGAGGAGGAGAGCAGGACCCGCACGGGCTTCTCCTCGTCGTGAGGAGCTCTCCGCCGTGAAGATGGAATCGCTTTATCGAGATAAAATCGTAAATCATCGAGTTAAATCGTGAAAAATTGCGATGAAATTGCACGAGAACCTGCACGAGATCGTGCAGGTTTTTTGTGAGATCGCGCAGAGCGAAATGGAAGAATTGTACGATTCGATTGTAGATATATGTGTGTGTATCGTGTATATTTACCCTCACACAAACATGCCACACATGTTTTGGACACCTTAATCTGGCACGCCGTGTGAGTCGCTTTCGTCCCCGCTTATTTACATCCGTAAGTGCTAATGGAAATCTATAAGAGATTATAAATGCACATTTAAATCTCTGTAGAATAGAATTATGTAAAGGAATGAGGTCGTAAATATTTAGATGAGGGCTTAAATATTTCTTTTTGTTGCAAATATAGAGAAACGCAATAAAAAATATGGGCGTGCATGAAAATTTGTATCTCTTGTGAAAGTGGATTTAAAGAATCAATACTCTAATGTTCTCCTGGTCAGCACTTAAACCTTTGAGAAAAAAATATTTCGCATTGCAATTTATCTCAAAAGTATAATTATTTGAGTATATGAAAATATATCATTTTCTCTAGTCAAGATGCAAGTAAAATAATTAATAGCTCCAATTTTTTGCAGTAAATATTAATCTATTATAATGCGAATTTTATTGAAATTTTTACAAAGATTTACTATATCTAAATCCCTTATTTGTTCGTGATTAGAATTTAACAATATAGAAAGCTTGATCATATATAATGTAGATAGAAATAATATAGACAGAAATAAATAAGCTATCCACATAAAACTTTTTTGTATATCTTATTTAATGTAGAAGAGCGTAATATATAGTGAAAAATCATTTGTTTAAAGTGCCGAATAGAGGCACCACCTCTGTGAATAATAACGATTGACAGTATTAAATGCATGTTAGATGGATATTAGTGCTTATAAGTTTAAATTGAAGGATAATAAT